TGAAAGTCCTATTAAGGTGTCAAGGCCTTTGGGACCTTGTAAAAGATGGAGTCGAAGCGCTTGGCGAAAACGCTTCAGAAGAAGAAAAGAAGAAATATACAGAATCTGAGAAGCAGAGTTATAAAGCATTATTTATAATTCATCAATGTGTCAGTCCAGACAATTTCGAAAAGATTGGTGATTCAGAATCTGCAAAAGAAGCTTGGGAGATCCTTGAGAAGTCTTTTGGAGGCGCTGAGAAGGTGAAAGAAGTGAGGTTACAAACTCACAAAAGGACCTATGAACTGCTTCAGATGGAAGACAGTGGAAACATATCTGATTTCTTCACTAGAGTTACAAAACTAGTGAATCAAATCAAGGCATGTGGAGAAACATTAACAACAAGAGCTGTTGTTTCGAAGATCTTGAGATCTTTAGCTCCTAAGTTCGACCACATAGTAGTGGCGATCGAAGAGGGGAAAGACTTGTCGAAATTGACAAAGGAAGAGCTTCAAGGGACGCTCGAATCTCATGAACAAAGAATGAACGAAAGAGCTGCAGGAAAATCGAAGAGTGGTGTGGCCTTGCAGGCACATTCAGCAAAAGAGACCAAAGGCAAAGGAAAGTATTTCGACAGAAGTAGAGGTGGCTACAACAAATCGAATGGTAGAGGAAACCAAATCGAAGGAGACGTGTCAAATTAAAGAAGACCACACCACGACAACCAAAGAGGTGGTGCTGCAAACAAAGGAAGTGGTGGTGGTCGAAAACCTGATAAGAGTCACATTCAATGTTACAATTGTCAGAAGTATGGTCATTATTCAAGTGATTGTCCAGAAAAACGAAAGAATCAAGAAAGTGATGCAAAGCTTACAAAACATGAAGAAGAAGAAGAGATGATGCTGATGGTCACAACAAGAGATGAAGACAGATTCAAGGACCAATGGTACTTGGATTCAGGATGTTCATCACATATGTCTGGAAGGAAAGACTGGTTCGTCAATATAAAACCCTAAACGAAGAATATGGTAAAATTTGCAAATGACAACACCCTAGCAGCAGAAGGTATTGGTGATGTTATGATCATGAGGAAAGATGGCAAGAAGTCAGTAATTTCAAATGTATTATACATACCAGGCATGAAGAGCAATTTGCTCAGTATAGGGCAGTTGGTCGAAAAGAATTATAAAGTGTCAATCAAAGATAAGTTGATGAGAGTCGTTGATGCAAATGGAAGATTAATCTTGAAGGCTCCTATGTCTCAGAATCGAACCTTCAAGATTGAACTAAATGTGATGGAGCACAATTGCCTTTCGACTGCAGCTAGCAGAGATGAATGGATATGGCATTATAGACTAGGTCATCTCAACTTCAGAGACATCAGAGATTTGAAGAAAAGAAATATGGTTTCAGGATTGCCTGAAATTGACATTCCAAACGAAGTATGTGAAGAATGTGTGCAGGCGAAGCAACACAAGAATAGCTTCAGCAAGGATGCAGGAAGCAGATCGAAGGCTAGTCTCGAAGTCATATACTCTGATATATATGGACCAATCCAGGTGGATTCAATGGGAGGTAACAAATACTTTGTTACATTCATAGATGATTTCAGTCGAAAGCTATGGACTTACCTGATCAAGAAGAAAAGTGAAGTGTTCGAAGTATTCACCAGGTTTAAGTCTATGGTCAAAAGACAAAGTGGACGAAAACTCAAAGTTTTGAGAACTGATGGTGGAGGAGAATATGTGTCAAAAGATTTCGATAGATTATGTGAAAAAGAAGGGATTGTGCATGAGGTGGTGCCACCCTATACTCCACAACAAAATGGAATTGCAGAAAGAAAAAATCGAACCATCATGAACATGGTGCGAAGTATGTCGAAAGGCAAGAATTTACCTAAAGAGTTCTGGGGTGAAGCTGTTTCGACTGCAACATACATTTTGAACAGAAGTCCTACAAAGAAGCTAGAAGGAATTACTCCAGAAGAATGTTGGTCTGGTGTGAAGCCTAGCTTAAGTCATCTAAAAGTATTTGGATCTATTGCACATAGACATGTGCCAGATCAGTTGAGAAAGAAACTTGATGACAAGTCAAGTCAAATGATCCTAGTTGGATATCATTCGACAGGAGGCTACAAGTTGTTCGATCCAGAGAACAAGAAGATTGTGATCAGCAGGGACGTGATCATAGATGAGTTCAAAGAATGGGATTGGACTGCAAATGTCAAGAAAGATTCAGTGGGAATCTTATTCGAAGAGCCAGAAACTCAAGTCGAAAGAGAAGTTCGACAAGAGGAGCCAGCAGATATACCCAGTACAAGCAGACCTCAAAGAACAAGACGCATGCCTGCAAGATTGCAAGATTGTGTGATTACATCAGATGATGTGATAGACGATGAAGGTGAGCTGGTACATTATGCTTTCTATGCAGATGTCGAACCTGTTAATGCAGCTGAAGCATTAAAAGATTCGAAGTGGGTGAAAGCAATGAACGAAGAAGTAAAGTCTATCGAAGACAACAACACTTGGTCACTTGTTGAATTGCCTCAAGGCAAGAAGGAAATTGATGTCAAGTGGGTATACAAAGTGAAGACGAATTCGAAAGGTGAAGTAACTCGACACAAAGCAAGACTTGTGACGAAAGGATTTCTACAGAAAGAAGGAATAGACTTCGACGAAGTTTTTGCACCTGTTGCTAGGATCAAAACAATCAGGCTGGTTGTTGGTCTAGCAGAAATCAACAGTTGACACATATGTCAGATGAACGTGAAGTGTGCATTCCTAAATGGACCCTTAGATGAAGAAGTCTATGTTAAACAACCAGTTGGGTTTGTGAAACATGACAAAGAAAGAAAGGTGTACAGGCTACATAAAGCCCTGTATGGTTTGAAACAAGCTCCAAGGGCTTGGAATAAGAAAATTGATAGTTTTCTAAGGGAGAAGGAATTTGTGAAGTGCATAACTGAACATGGAGTATATGTAAGAAGAAGCAAGAGTAAATTGCTTATACTATGTCTCTATGTAGATGATTTGTTGATAACAGATAGCTGCAAGAGTGAGATTGAAGACTTCAAAGTTGACCTTAGCAAGGAATTCGAAATGTCTGATTTGGGTGAGATTTCATATTTCCTTGGTATCGAATTCTACAAGAGCAGTAGAGGTTTGATGATGCATCAAAGAAGATATGCAGGATAAATTCTCAAGAGGTTTGAGATGGAAGAATGCAACTCAACTTCGACACCTGCAGAACCAAGACTGCAATTGTCGAAAGATGCTGATGAAGATGATGTTGATCCAACCCAATACAGAAGACTTATTGGATCATTGAGATACCTTTGTCATACAAGGCCTGACTTAGCATACAACGTAGGTATGATAAGTAGATTCATGCAGAAGCCAAAGGTATCACATCTAGCAGTTGTGAAGAGGATACTAAGGTATCTTAAAGGAACTTTCGATTATGGCATTTTGTTTCCTGCAGTTGATAAAAGAAAAGAATGCAAGTTAGTGGGATACACTGATTCGAGTTGGTGTAGTGATGCTGAAGATCGAAAGTCAACAGCAGGATATGTGTTTATGCTAGGTGGTGCAACAATTGCTTGGAGTTCGAGAAAAGAACCAGTAGTAGCATTATCATCATGCGAAGAAGAATACATAGCTGCTTCTCTTTGTGCATGTCAAGCAACCTGGATGGTGAACTTGGTCGAAGAGATAACAGGGAAAAATCATGGAGCAATTACCATGAAGATAGACAGCATGTCAGCTATCAATCTAGCGAAGAATCCAATAGCACATGGTCGAAGTAAGCACATCGAAATGAGGTTCCATTATCTTCGAGAGCAGGTAGCAGATGGGAAGATGAATTTGGAACACTACAGAACTGAGAATCAGATTGCAGACATCATGACGAAGGGAGTGCAGGTCAAAATATTCAGAAAGCTAAGGGTCATAATGAACATAGACAGTTTAGACACAATGAATTAGGTGGTGTGTTAAATTGTAATTCATATGTGTCAAAAGAAGATTTGATTTGTTTAGATTTAAATAGATTTGAATTTAAATCTAGATTAGATTTGATTTAGTAAAGAGATATTTTGGGCTTGGGTTTAGCTTAGGGAGCAAGCTAACCTAAATCTATAAATAGAGAGAGTAACCCCTATTTTGTAATCAAGTCATTCACAGTATTTTGCAGTTGCAAAGTGAATTAATAAAGATTCCACCGTTTGTGGGCAGAATAGAAATTCTGCAGAAATATCTCTATTGTTCTTTTATTTGTTTGTGGTGGTCGAAATTCATCATAAAGTATTGGTGGATTTCCAACAGTTATTGATCAAACTATTGAATATCAACGGGGCTGTGAAATTAATAATCAAAATATTTAATATTAACATAAACATAAATTTATTGATCAAAATATTGAATATTAACAAAAATATTAAATTTTTGATCAAAATATTAAATATTAACTGAAATATAAAGTTTTTGATCAAAATATTAACTGAAAAATGATTGATCAAAATATTAAATATTAACGACAATATAAATTTACTGATTAAAATATTAAATAATAATAAAAATATAAAGTTACATAAATATGAAATTATTGATAATATATATATATTATTGATTTAAATATTTTTATATTTAAAAACAATTTATTATCTATTTTAAAAAAGAATCATTTTATTTTTATAATATTTTAAAAATAAATATGCGTATTATACGGTACTGTGAGAGCGCACTCATAAATTCTAGAAAATAGAAATTGTCAAATAAAAAGAAAAAATTGGCAAAATATTCGAGTAGACTGTTGAACAGGTTTTTATTTCCCACACGTGTGCACAAAAAAACTAAAACCCTTCAATCAAGCGTCACATTCGCAGGTTCAACATTGACTCATTGAGTGAGTGACCTTCTTCACTAGCCAAGAGATTTTGGGGGTTTTAGAAGAGTTTTAGAGCGAGACAGTTAGAGCGAGAAAGTGAGAGAGTTAGAGAGAGAAAGTGACGCTGTTGTTTCGCCATGGGAGCGTGTGCTACATTTTCTCCGTGGACTCATGAAGACGATCTTTTACTCAAGAACTCCGTTGAGGTTTTTTATTTTTTCGTTTTTTTAAAAAAAACTTTTTTTAGGTTTTTATTTGTGTTTGAATTTGATTGTTGAAATTCTTATGTTTGATTTTTAGGATAAACTGCATGAACTCTAAATTGAAATTGAATTTGAATTTGATTTTGTTTCAGATTATTGTTCGTATTAGTGATACATTGTAGTATGAAGTTGTTTAGCTAGTTTTTTATCTGTGTTTGAATGTTGATGTTTTAGGTTTGTTTTTTTGGGATAGAGTATATGAGGTTTGAATTGAATCGAATAGATCTATCTATATTTCATTTTTCTTGTGTTGTCTGTTGCGAAGCACAAACACCGAAAACCTGACCGACACTGACATGTCGATGCCAGTAATAACTTTGAAAAATGAATAAATTAAACGTAATCCTAAGTGTCAGGGTCAGTAATCACGAGTGTCAGTGCAGTATCAGTAATAACAAGTGTCAGTGTCGGTAATCCCAAGTGTCATCGTCAGTTTTGGAATGACACACTTTTATTAGAGGTGTATGTGCTACGGAGGTTGTTTGATGTTTGTTTATATTAGAGACAAGATAACAATTCTAGGATTCTGGTTTAAATCAATTTTTTTGCATGATTTTGTATTTACAGAGTGGTGCTTCGTTGGAGGCACTTGCGAAAGGTGCGGTGCAGTTTTCTCGAAAATATAGTATTGGGGAAATAAAAGAGAGATGGCATTCTATCTTCTTTGACGCTGTTGTATCCTCGGAAGCCTCTGCGGCTATGGTACGTTTAAAAGAACAGGATATTGTTTCTGTTAAGAGAAAACCTGTCAGGGCTCGAGATTCTTACTATGCTATGCGTAAAAGAATGCGGAAAGAGGTACAAACTTCGACGGACTACAATTTTCTTGTTGAACCAGTAAATGAGGATTATGTGGTAAATGGAGATCAGACCTTGCCTCTAAACTGTGTACCCGAGGGTTCAAATTGGAATCAATTTCCAAATAATGATCCGGCAAACTATGGTCTTCCGGAAAATATTATGGATGCTGATGTTGCAATTAATGGAGTTACTGATCAAGCGTTTTACACCGGGTTGGATGATACACTTGGAGAGAATTTCCTCATTGGCCAAAACCATATGCCCGTGGAGGAGCATCAAATTATTGAAGATAATGTGCCTCTGAATGGAGCTGCCGAGGAAATGGGTGTTCCGATAGAATTAGATATTGAGAGATTTATCAGAGATGAGGATGTAGAGGAAATATCTTTGTCTTCATTTCAACAAATCAACAATGAACCTGCAAATTTGTGCTCCGAGTTTGATGAAGATTATCTATTTGATTCATCTGAGTTAGAGTGTGGAGATTCATTTGACGATTTACAGTTATCTTCACTTCCTGACATTCCGGACATTCCGGATTGGAGAACAGAAGAACATGGCGGTATTTCATGTCACGGCTCAAAAGATTCGACTGCTTGTGAGAATGGTTACCTGAAAGAATTGTCCAATGATCTCTTAACCTTCACTGGCGAGGAAGAGCTATATCTGATGGATTATGTCGGAAAAGATGGGATTGGTAAATCTTATTATGATGGTCTCAGTTCACTTTTAGTAAACTCTCCAATTGACGGCTCTTCTGATCAGATACCTGAAGCAGATGGAGCAGAGTTATTACCAGATGGAGCAGAGTTATTACCACCTGAAGAAGTTAAAAATCTGTGTGTTTCACGTCGCACACACATAAATGACAACGCAGGAACAGCTGAAACAGATTTGTTAGCCGCCTTTGATGCACATGTTAATGATCTGTCAGCTTCATGTCGTGCTCGTGCAGAAGCATTAGCAGATGACAAATCAGAGTTCGAAATGCCAACTTCTGCCTCAGCTAAAGGCCCTCGATTTCCTGAAATAGTTCATGGAGTTATTACCTGTAAAACAAATACTGAGGACCCAGAAATTCCATCCAATGATGATGTTTCTCTACCCTTTTACGAGCCTCCCCCAACAAATTTTTGTTCATCCGAACCAGCTGTTTCAAAATCCAATAAACCAGTTCCATCATCTGTTAATGATTGTGGATTTAGAGCTAGCAGAAGAGGTAAAGTTTTGATGCAGGTTGAACAAAAAAACTCCATAGGAGCTCATGTGTCTTCCCAGACAACAGGAACCCGAGTGAATTCAGGGCCTGTTTCTGGTTCTAAAATAAAATACGAGTTACCTAATAACCATTCATCGCACACACTGTCTAGGAGTGCAGCTATTGCTTCCAGTGGCTTAGGTGGAGGCAACAGTTTAACAAACAAAACTCATGCTGCTCTTCATACAAATCCTAAGGAAAAGCTTGTCAATCCTAGCTTTGTAAAGCTAAGCAGTAACGTGACAAGTTTGTCACATGAAAAACCAGCCCTTGGAAACCGCTTCATAGATCAAGTCCAACCTAACGGTTCATGCTTGAAACAGAAACCACATGTAGCTTTGCCAGTTGAAGATAATAATCTGCAACATGCTGAAATGGGATCTACAGAAGTTCTAAGGTCAGAGCTGGGGGTTAATCCTGAAAAGTTTGATGAGGAAGAGCAATATATCGAAAGTGATGATGATATTCCTTATTATTCTGATATAGAGGCGATGGTAAGGGATAATGTGTTGACCTTTCAATCAACAGTTGGCTTTACCTTTTCCACAACTTTTGCAATTTTCTGACTTATTTGTGATTCCCTCCTACAGATACTTGATATGGACTTGGAACCTGATGTTCAGGATTTATATGAGAATGAAGAAGGTAATACTATTGGTTTGTGCTACTTGCTAATTTTTTTTTTTTCCTATTGAAAAAAAGAGACAACTAGTATTAATTAGTGGCTCAACTAAAGAACATTTCTATTTCCTGTTGCTTTTTTGATGCTGTCTCATGGTATGGGAGGATGTTTCAGCTATTTGGGCAGTTTATAGGCTCAGTTCTCGTGAATGTTTTTGCCATAACCAATATATGTCTGTCAAAAGAAAGAACAACCCACGCGTCTCTGTAAAAAAACTGACCGATTTAATTTAATTTGCTTGTGTAATTCATTGTTTTCTTGTGACTTTGTTATATATTAACAATTTATATTCTGATTACAATTTAGTATCAAGATATCAGCACGAGGAAACTAAGCGGACTATCATAAGGCTGGAGCAGGGTGTTCACTCTTTCACGCAAAGAGCCATGGCTTCACACAGAGCACTGGCTCTATTACATGGCCGCCACTCAAATTACTACATCAAGAAACCCGAGGTATTTGTCAATTAAGCACATAAACTTCTTTCTTGATCTACATGTTGTTTGGAGATGTTTCAATTTTACTTTTTGAATGTAAATATAACAGTCAAATGCATGGTTATCATATTTTCTGTTATGTCAAACAACAAAGATCTATTATGCAGTTATTAACATCAATTGTTTTTGAAAAATGCCCCAACTTGACATTTTCTTTTTAAAATTAGAAGAGTGAATATTTTGTGATGTTTTAATATATTGCAAAACAATTTCACATGCGCTACTTAGATTATTAGTAATACGGCTGTTTGTGTTTCTAAGTTAAGGTAGTAATCTTTTTTTCTATGTTTGAGTTATTTCTGATGAAAATAAAACAATGAAGGAGTTAATAGTTGAAACTGTTTTGCAATGACAAACATATATGTTCTTTGAAAAGTGCCGCAGCTAAAATAACAATTTGTTTATGTTTATAAATTTGGAGGGGTCAATATTTCCTGTGACATCGCAAATTAAATCGTCCTGCAGGTTTTACTTGGACGAGCAACAGAAGGTGTTCATGTAGATATTGACTTAGGCAAAGGAGGTGGTACCAATCTAATATCTAGACGCCAGGTTGGTTATATTCTCCGTAGCACCGTCACCTCTGAAAAAAATGTGTGTCAGTGTCCGTGTCGGACCGACACTTGTGATTACATTCAATTTATTCATTTTTTCAAATTATTGTCGGTGTCAACATGTCAATGTCGGTGTCGTGTCCGTGCTTCATAAGTTATATTTAGTTATTTACCAACTATAACTTAATGCAGTGGACTATGCTGTGTGTGCCTCTGAAAATTTGTTTATCACTGGTAATAACTGATCACATCAACATGCTTTAAAATACTTCAATGGAAACTTTTGGTTTCCTGTCGGCCGCCCACACATCATCTGGTGCACACACTGCAATGTCAATTCTTCTTTAAATATTACGTTGACATATTTTTAAGGTGTTGTGTTGTATTCACTACAAAATGTAAATTGACCTCAACATATCGATTATAAACTTTTCCCTTGTTATGTTTTAGGCAATCATTAAGATGGATAAAGATGGATTGTTCTACATTAAAAATATTGGCAAGAGTTCAATGTTGGTAAATAACAGAGAGTTGCACACTGATCAATCTCAAAGACTGCTTTCCCATCATCTGATTGAGGTATGATTTCATAGCTCGATTCAACTCTGATTGATTGGCACAGGTAGCCTCATTGTTAACTGTCTGATGGCAAATGTTTTTTTCCCTCCTGATTAAACAATTTTGACCGGGTTGCGAAAGTACTGAAAAATGCAGAATTTTTCTATTGGATTCTTATTTTGATTGGAAATGTGATTTCATATCTTATTTTGCAGTTGAAGGGCATGCAATTGATATTCGAGATAAATCAAAGTTGTATGAAGCAGTAGCAGCTGACTCGTAGCACTGACAATTTTCCGACATTTCTGTGTGATTGTAAACTATGCAAAGAGGCCCATTAACACAGGAAGCGCCTATTTGTACGCATTTGTACGCGCTTTCTGATTTTTGGTGAGGAGTGACCCTGCTGTTGCGTGTCAGTGCTTTTACTGATGAAGTGTTTTTCCGGAAAATAGAGTTGCACGAATCTTTTTCTCCTCCATGTTCCTTTGCCCGCTAGAATAGATAATTCTTCAACCCAAAAGTTTTGTAGTATGTCAAAGTTATCAGAACTCAGAATCTGAATCATTACTATCCTGCATGAAGACACGGTCCTTTTGAAACCTCATGCTGGTTTTTATCATTATCTTTACGTGCATAAAAAAGAAAAAATTACCTATCAAAACAGTGGAACTGAATGGGACAGGTGGAGCAAGACATGTGAACTAGAGGTAATGTGGTTCCTTTATGTTGCAGAATAAAAGATCATATAATTATAATTATCTGGAGTTTGTTTTTAATCTTATCAGCAATCCAAACAAACAAACTCATTGAGTGGTTGAGTTTGATTGGTTTGAGTTTGACAAAAAATTAAACTTTTTAACTCATAACAAATTGTGAATTCGCATAGATCGGATAATTGTATTGATCAAATTAGTCCAGTCTATTATAGGGATGAGAGAAAGTAAGTTGGTAGTTGAAATTGGAGTTTATTGTATCTCTTTTGTATTGTGGTCCTTGGTATTGTGGTCCTTGTTCTCTTGCATCTGGACATGGCCTTTGAGGTCTTTGAGGCACATGCCTCTATTTTCTTTTTCATCTTTTTAATTCTTCTACTATATTTATTTTCTACTTATATTGAGGTAGAGGACCAGTTTAACTTCTATAGTTTAATTTTTCTGTTTATTTTTCTAGGACGTAAAATTGACCTAATCCCTTTGGATTCCCGATGTATCTTTACCGTCATTAGTTATGTAGTATCGACGTCTATAAACAAAACTGTTTGTATCTTTACCATCTTTAGTTATGTAGCATCAACATCTTTAAACAAAAATGTTTTTAGTGTCTAACACATGTTAGAGTTTCACACCTACACGTATTAATGTCTGGCATTGACATGATTTTGTAGTTTGTGATAATATTTAATTTATTCATTTTTTTTATACGTGGAAGTGTTGTGTCTACTGTTTGTAGTGCCAACTCTCATCTGGTGACTAAAAAAAGTATATATATCTTATGCTGCTAGTATTTTTAGTGACGACCACAATGTTTTGAGAATGCAAAATTTTTCATTGGAACAAATGTTGTACATCTTTTTGTAAATTGTTAATTTATTAGATAAACAACTTTTGTTAAAAGAATTATGTTTCTTGCAAGACAAATGAATCTATAAGATCTCCTCGATTGTGCTAAGCATGTGAAGAATAGGTAATGGGGAGGATGTCTCAAAAAAATACTTTCGATTGTTTTATATGAAAAGTAGATAAGGATTTCGTACAGTTTAATCTCTAATATCTTGTCAACAAAAACCCTTTCAAAAGAAATCTCAACATGAGTTAACACAGATTTTCATATGTTTTAAGATTAATATAAGAGATAGTAAGTTGAAAGTAGGGAAGTGATACCTTCAAACGACTTATTGCTATTTAAGAGAAATGCTTCTACAATTATCTTCTCTCTCAACGGGTTCCACTCAATTTGGATATGAATAATTAAAATTTCTATCTTTCTATTTTTATCAATCATAAAATTGGCAATCCTATTTTAATATAAATTTTCTAATTAAAAATAGTAATATGATATATTAAATAACGTGTCATAAATTTCATGAATGAATATCATTCATATAGATTTATTATTAATTATTGATATATTATCAATTATGCGAGCACGTGAAAATAGAGGTTAAAGTAATTAGGATAATATAACTAAATAAAATATTTTATATTTGTAAGGACTATAAACAAACAATTCTTTTATAATTAAAATGATAAAGTGAGTGGACATTCAATTTGCAAGGGGACATGTTTAATTCTGCAATATCTCATTTATTTATTGTTAAGGAATGAAATTCTGACAATTATACTATGATGTAATATGTTTTAAAATCTAAAGTGATAAAAGAAAAAAAATATTTCAGTACTGTTAGCTTTTTTAAAGTTGTTCGCAGATGGACTATATCTTTGAAATCGTTAAGGTTTTGACAATTATAAATATGTATTTTTCTCATTTGTTGTTAACACAAGTAACATGTGGTGCATAAGGTAGTAACCCTAATAAGAAACAAAGATTGAAATTTCTAAGATTATACTCTTCGGGTTTGACAATCTTTATGGTTATCAAAGAGATTTGAGAAATACTTTAAATACTTTGGGTTTGTGTAATTCTTATATTAGAAGTTAGATAGATTGAGAGATACTTGATTAAACAATATCAGTTTACTTTGAGAACTCCAATTCTTATTTTCTTGTAGCTCATATTATAATGTCTTGTAATAACTTTTGAACTATAATGAATCAGAGAGATGTTCTTTCTCTCAAATATAAATGAGTTTAATTGAATTGGTTAAACAATTTTCTCTATATTCTTATCTATATTTTTTGTTGTTTGAAGCATTTTTGTTAGTTGTCATTGTTCTTTGTCCTACACGTCAAAGTCTTGATATGTTCAAAATTATTTGTACTTATTTTCACAACAAGTGGCGCCCATTTTGGGGCAAATGATTTAAGTTTATAAGTGGACATCATAAGTTTCAAATGGGACTTCAAGTAATTTTTTTCTGAGATAACAACTTCAAATTATGAAAGGTGAAGATGCAAGCAACACTAATTCAAAAAATGTGTAGAAGCATTGAAGGGCGTCTGCAAGCCTAACACAAGTTAAGAAGACTAAGATGGTGGATAAGACAAAAAGTATCATTATCTTGTAACTCAAAGATACAGTATTTAGGGAAGTCGCGAGGAAAAAGACCATGACTGAGATGTGGATTAAACTTGAATCATTATATTTGATGGAGTCATTGGCTCATTGATATGGTGTAGAGTAAGTCTATAATGGAAGAGTTTGAAGAATTTCACAAGATCATTGATGATTTGTAAAATATTGAAGTGAAAATTGAAGATGAATATAAAGTTATATTCTTTTTAAGCTCATTATCCAAATCCTTTTATCACTTTAAGGATGTCTGTTGTACCCCAAAATTTACCCTCTCATTTCTCAAAGGATCATTCTAGACCCTCAGGTTTGCTTCTGGCAAGTTTCAAGTCTCAAATCATAATTTTCTAAAGAAAGTCATTCACAAGGGCAAAATGGTCAAAAACTCATTGAAAAGTCAAATTTTGACTTTTGAATCAAAAATCAAGTTTCAATAATTATATTTCATCAAGACATGAAATTAATTCATCAAAATCAAAAATCAGAAATTACTTTGAAAAAATCAAATTTCTAAACACTTGGAAAATTTTCTAAGTATTGAGAAAATATGACAGTTTCAGAAATTCCGGACCAGATTTCACGCCAGCGCAATCAAAATTTGCAAAGACGGTTCAGAACATGACTCTTCAATTAGAACATAAGAAAATTGTGTCCTTCGATCAAAACATGACTCTTCAGCATATGGAGACTATGTTTTACGCTTCGATCAGAACATCACCCTTCGAGTTTCACTCTGGTCTTCTTCAACCAGAACATCACAAAGCCCCAAAACCTTGTTTGAGCAGCCTGCTGCACTGCTATAGCACAATCCTGCAACCAGCTACCACAACACTCCAAATTGCTGCTGAACTAGTCCACACCTGCATTTTTCTCAAATCCTATATTTGCACCAAATTAGCATACAAAAACTGTGATTAAAAAGCAATAGAATAGTATATCAAAAAGGTTTAAATCCCATTTCTTTTTCTCCCCAAAACCACAACAAATTCACCTATAAATAAGTTGCTCCATCACACTTTCAAGGGGCTGGCTTTTGGAGAGAGAGAGAGAGAATTATCTAACAGAGAAAATGAAACAATAAAAAACCTTCGCAAATCCTAAACAAAACATTTGTACTTCCTTTTGAATCAAAGAACATAACCTTTGTTCCGTTGCTCTCGCTGACTCCAGAACATCTGAAGGCAGTAACTCAAGTTCCAGGCACACGCTCCAGATTCAAGGTAAGTCTTTCTGACTTTGCATCTCTTTATTCAGAACATCATTAAATATGTAAATACCATAATATTGATGTTGTCTATATCATTGCATAAGTAGAAAAACTATGGATCAAAACTTCTTGAATAAAGCTAGGCTCAGAATTAGAATTAGAACTTCTATAAACTGTTGTGTTTTTATCCTTCTGATTTGCTGTTAAGGACTGAATAAATTGCTGATGTGCTGATTAATATAAGGAAAAAGTTGAAAGGTAACACAAAACTTCTTAGTTCTCCTCACCATTTTAACACACACAGAACTTCTGATTTTCACTAGCTGTTAACAGACACTGAACTTATGATGTTCACTCACTGCCTTAACACATACTGAACTTCTGAGTTCTCCTCACTGTTTTAATACACAGAACTTCTAAGACTTTCTCACTGTTCTAACACTCAGAAGTTCAGCACGTAGCAACCCAGAACTTCTGTGTTTTCCCTCTAACGTTTCTTGCAGGACCTCAAAGTGTATCAATCTAGAACTTCTGATTTCCTCTGACGTTTCTTTCTGAACCACAGCGCGCCCGACATTAGAACTCCTGATCCCCTTTGTTTTGCTTTCAGCAGCATGCTAATTCTATCTCTCATTATTTCCCTTTTTTTTTATCATTTTCAATATTAATACCCTTCTTATTAATATAAAAAAAAGACATAAAAATATTTTCTCTTTATTAATTAATTTATTTCTTTTTCTTAATTCATTAAGACAAAAAACCATTTTCTAAACAAGTCCTTTTTCTTTCTTGCATTGTACATTTCAATATAGTTGTAATAGTTAATTAGGATTTAAATTCTTGCAACCCCCCATTTGTAAATTTGTACCC